CCTACCACGTGTGAGGCACTGGGATTGGTCCCCAGCACCACATAAAAATAAATAACAAAATAAAAGTATTAGGGGCTGGGGATGTGGCTCAAGCGGTAGCGCGCTAGCCTGGCAAGCGTGCGGCCCGGGTTCGATCCTCAGCACCACATACAAACAAACATGTGTCCGCCGAAAACTAAAAAATAAATATTAAAAAAATAAAAGTATTAAAAAAATGACACCATAAAAAATTAGCATGTTACTAGATTCTACTGAATTTTTTTTTTTTTTTTGGTACTATTAATTGAAGCCAGGATGCTTAACCACTCAGCCACATCCTCATCTCTTTTTATATTTTATTTAGAGATAGGGTCTTCCTGAGTTGCTTAAGGCCTCACTAAGTTGCTGAGGCTGTCTTTGAACTACCAATCCTCCTACATCAGCCTCCTGAGCTGCTGGGGTTACAGGCGTGTGCCACTGCACCAGGCTCAGTCTATTGAGTTCTAAGTTGGTGTTTGTAGCAGATGCTTTTGGTGTCCCATCCCTGCCCTTCTGGCTTCACCCCTTCTGTGTGCTTCATATGACACTGCAGTGTCTGCATCTTGCTTGGAGGGCATAATGCATCCTGAATGCAACCCTCAACTAGTCACTGATGGAAATGTAAATCAGGCTCATCCTCTTCCCTTGGGTGGAATATCACTGGAAGATTTGTTTCAAGTTTCCCCATGGAAGTACACTCAGCTACTCCTGTGGTAGCTGCCTTATTATCTGCTGTCCCCTTTCCGTCTTGTACTGCCTTCACCAGTTTTAACACCTCCTCCACAAGTAATTTGCTATACTCAAAATTTGTTGTTTCCACATTTGCTCCCAGCACATTCTGACAAGATAAATAGGTTGCTGACTGTAGAGTTCTCCCTAGAGCTCAGCCATAAGAGAAATCCTTTTGAAATTTTTTATTTTATATCCTATTATTTTGATATCCTAAACAGACCTAGGTCTATATTAAAAATTGTTGCTGTTTAGATCCTCTTATAGTACACAATCTTTAGTTTTTGCTTGATTTTATTTTCTTCTACCAATTCCATAACTTCTTTTTTTAAATATTTATTTTTTAGCTTTAGGTGGACACAATATCTTTATTTTACATTTATGTGGTGCTGAGGATTGAACCCAGTGCCTCGTGCATGCTAGGCGAGCACTCTACCAGTGAGCCACAACCCCAGCCCCCCATAACTTCTTATTTAGCATATAAAATAAAAAATTTTAAAAAGTTCTAGTGAGAATGAGCATTAAAAATATACCACTCTGGAATATTTAACTATTTAAGCGAATGGCTTTTGAAACCAGCAGATGCAAAAAGATCACTCTCATCTTTATGTTGTTTTTTAAAAAGAGATTAAATTCCTATATAGAAGCTGTCCTTTCTGTACATCTTGTCATCAAGATGGAAAGTCAAGACTGAGAATTCTGTGCAGCTCTTACTAAAATAACTATATGTAACCACTCCCCCCATATCTTATTTGCCTCTTGACAATTTAGTACTCTAATTGAGTATAAAAGTAACTGCTTCTTTGGGTCATTTACTTATGAAAGTTCTTGTACTATGTAAAATTTGTAGTAAATGAATTTGTATCCTGTTAATCTGTCACTACTTCTTGGGCCCAGCAGGGACCCTAAGAGGATGCAGGTGGAATTTTGCTACACTTTCACAAGCAAGTGGCACCCCATATTCTTGGGAACTCTTACTTCTTTGTGGGAGGAAAATTATGACTGTATATTTGGCTCAAAAATACCTAACCAGTATATTTATGCTGGCCAGCATGAACAGCAAGAGGAAAGATTTGCCACATTGTACATCCCTAAGCAGAATAGTTGAGATGTCAGAAGGAGGAGGTAGTAAGCCAATGAGGAGTAAACAAGCTCCCTTTGTCACCACCTTGGGAGATGGGGGCCTAATGAAAGCATTCCCAAGCCTGAGCACACAGCAGGCTGGTCCAAGCTGCTAAGTCCATTCTGATCAGGTGCACGAGCCACCAACTTTAAGCAGAGAGGTATAACACAGGATCCTGGGAAAACATGAGACAGGCTTAGTGCCAGCTCTGTCACAAGGATATGCAGAGCTGCACTGTTCCGTATGCTAGCCATTAGCCATATGAGGCTGTTTAGTCATTAAAATTAAATAAAACTAAAACTAGACTTCTTAATAGCCACATTTTAAGGACAGCACAGATACAGACTATTCCTGCTGCAGAAAGGTTTACTTGATAGCAGTGGCAGAGAGGACCCAAGGACTTCTTGTGGGCAAACAGTAGGAAAATGGGAGCTTTTTAGTGCTATTTCTTACAATTAAGTTACATGGACCTTTGTAAATGGTCCCTATAAAATTAGAACATTTAGCAGAATTCCCTGGACACAGGAGGGAGGGATAAGGATGGTCGGAAGCCTTGCTGAACTAACTTGCTTGGGAGAAGAGAATTCCATCTCAAGAGGGCTTAGAGTGGGGTTAGCCTTACCACCCCACCACCCGCCGCCCCAAGAAGCTAGACAGATGCCAACTAAAAGTTCAGGTTGGCAGCAGCGTGTGGTAATAGCTGTGATTATAGTCACTTAGGAGGATCACAAGTTTGAGGTCAGCCTGGGCAACTCAGTGAGACTCTGTCTCAATAAAAAAAAAAGGGGGGGGGCTGGGTGGCTTAGGTCACTTGTAGAGCATCCCTGGGTTCAATCCCCAGAACTGAAGGTGGGTGTAGGGGAAGAGTTCCAATTGGCGATGGGAATGACAGTATATGTTTGTGTTTTTTTTTACCATTTGTCAATATGACTAGAGCTCAAAACTAGCTCCCTGAGAACAGGGAAGAAATGGTCAAACTGTGGCATTCTTGTTTGGGTATTGAGCTGAACCCACTGTCCTCCAGGCCTGGAGAGACTGGGCAACTGTCAGCTCAGTCAGTGAAGGTGTCTAACCCTGGGCAAAGAAGCCTGGCATCCATGATGGACCATTCCACTGAATAGAAAGGCATGTTTTCTTGAAAAGACCAGTGAAGCGTTTTTTTTGTGTGTGTGTGTGTTTGCGATATTTGTCTTAAACAGTTAAAAATAAAGATAAAATTTGGTAGATGCTTTCATTTCATCAGACTTTTTATATATTAGGGTTGACTAAAATATCCCATGTTGTCACCTGGTCTTGACTAGTACTCAGCTCGCACCATGTCAATTACCAGGTGAGCTTTGGCCATACCCATAATGGCCAAGGCCTTGCTCCCTACCATTCTCAAATATAGCTTTCTTCTCAAAGTTGGCTTCTCCACTCGCCAGTGCTTCTCAGCTGGAGGAAATAAAGGGGGAATGACAAGGCAGGCAATTATGAGACAAAAATACTTGGTGGTACACGCCTGTAATTCCAGCAGCTTGGGGAGCTGAGGCAGGAGGATGGAAAGTTCAAAAACAGACTCAGCAACTTATTGAGGCTCTAAGCAACTTAGTGAGATCCTGTCTCAAAATAAAAAATATGAAAAAGGCTGGGGATGTGGCTCAGTGGCTAAGTGCCCCTGGGTTCAATCACTGGTACCAAAACAAACATACACAAAACCCCAAAATGCTAAGAGAAAATCAAATGTAAATTTTACAGTATAAATAGCTGACTTCCAGGAAAGATGTAAACTTTTGGGCAAGTCATTGATCTATTTTCAGTAAGGTATGCACTTTGCATATCAACAATAAAAACTGAGAAATGCCTGAACTATTTAATAAAATTTCAATTGTTATATTCCCTAATTGGAAAATAACATAGCCATTAAACATAAAGATTATGAAAACCTGAAGACAAGATCCTTAAGAAAAAATGTTAAGGATATAAATGCACTATGGTTTTTATCATCCAAAATACACAGAAAAAAAATCACAGGCAAATACCATCAAATGCCAATAATAGGTTGATCATGTGGAATTGTCCTTTATTATTTTCCCAAAAACCCAGTAAGGTGCTTATATTCTTAAATATATTTAAGAGTCAAGGTTCTCAAAGAATTTGAAAAAAAATTGATGCAGTATTTGTTTTGAGTACACAGAGCTAGAAAGATGATTAGATGTGGTAAGCCATTGTTATAGATCGTGGCCGCCATTAGAAGATGGCGCCGGCTTCCACTGTGGCCTGTGGTAAACAACTCCTTTTATGGAGAGTTGGTGCGCAATCCCTTACCACCCTATGAGAAAGATCCACGTGGCGGCTTAAGATTGGTAGGCGGGAGGCTTTATTAGGCTATGCTTGGGCGCTCGGCGGGGGGTCGCTAGAAGATGATACTTGAATCAAGGCCTGAATAAACTGCTGAAAGAAGAATCCTGTGTCGTGTGTTCCCTTGCCGGCGAGGGGTCGCGACAATTAGATACATTTGTATAAGCTGGGCAAATGCTCTAGTACTGATCTACATTTCCAGGCCTTTTTAAGACAGGGTCTTGATATGTTGCTAGGATGGCCTTGAACTTGTCATCCTCCTGCTTCAGCCTCTTGAGTGGCTGTGATTTCAGGTGTGTGCCACCATGCCTAGCTATTACCTTTCTCTCACCAAATACTTGTGTGCCTCAAGTTGAACCTAACAGGTATGTTAAAGCCAACCCAATGTCCTTCCTCCATCTGGATACAGGGGTAAAAAAAGTGCTGGGAAGTGAAGGAGCAATCAAGTTTGAAAACTTGCAGCTCATATTCTCTGTCACGGTGGGGGTGCATGCGCTCACTGATCCTCTGCTGCTACTCCTGGGGTCCACAGCCCACCACTGCAGAGGATCCAGCTGGAGTAAAGAGCAGAGTAAGTCAATTATGGGATGGAGGACACATACTCAGCTATAGATATAACCTTGCACTGACTGGGCAAGCCTCGAGACCTCCTGAGTTCTCAAGTGTTGATGTGAACCTACCTTTCTCTTTTCCTTTGTAAATGGGATGAAGTAGGTTCTTCTTCTTTTTTTTTCTTTTTAACTGTTGATCGATACTTGTTTGTTTGTTTATTTACTTGCAGTGCTGAAAACTGAAGCCAGTGCCTCACACATGCTAGGCAAATGCTCTACCAGTGAGGTACAGCCCCAGCCCAAGGTAAGTTCTTAATTCCTTGGAGGGGTGCTTGGAAATTGATGGAGAAATGCAGAGTATTACATAATGCCAATGAATACTGCTGTTAACAAAATAAGCAGCTCTGTCCTCAGGGCCCTCTCTTTTTGAAGACCCCAAGGAAAACCACAGGAGCACTTCTTTATATTCCACACTATAAGAAGCCTCCTCAGGAAAAATGCTTTAGGCTTTTTGGTATTACAAGAGCCCATACATGTACAGTTCAGTGATGGTTTACTGATAACCTTTTTCAGAAACCAAAAATTATCAAATAATGAACCCTATTCAATAAACTGTTAAAAGGATACTGTGCCAGAAGTGTGTGTGTTTGTAATGATTTTTTTTCTTGTTTTAAAAGAAATCAAGACTCCTAGAATGGGAAAGAAAGAGGGCTATACACAATCTTAAAATGTAAAAACTAGTATCTCATGTATGTGTTGAAATTTACCAAGTATTTTTAGAATTATGAAGTAGTTGAAATTCTTTCACTATCTAAAGAGCAAGACAATTCCAAGGGCCCAAATTCTTAGGGAAGTAGAGAAGTAATTGAAACGGGAAAGATTTTGTCAAAAAGTACAAATCTTTTGGAGGGTTTATATTCATTCCTCCTTCACAGAAGTTCTCCATCATAAGTATTTCTTGAGACTCAAGCTGGACTGAATGTACCCTGTGTGGGATGCCTGCAGAAACAGGATTCATGAATGACTGAATGCTCCAAATGCCAAAGAATATAGTTTCTGGACACGAAAATAAATCCAAGTGAGCAAAACATTTCAAAGTGATGGGACTTTACCTTGATGGATCCTTTGGTGTCGGACAAGGTGTGTACTTTGTCTAAAGCTTTCCCCACATTCAACACATTTATAAGGTTTTTCTCCAGTATGAGTTCTCTGGTGTTTAATGAGGGTTGCACTCTGACTGAAGCTTTTCCCACAGACAGAACATCCATAAGGTTTCTCCCCAGTGTGGATTCTCTGATGTTTAAAGAGGTCTGAGCGCTGTTTGAAGCTCTTCTCACACTCTTCACATTTATAGGGTCTCTCCCCTTTATGTAGTCTCTGATGTCTAAAAAGGTTAGAAACATGGCAGGTCTCCCCACATTCCTCACATTTACAGAACTTCTCTCCAGCATGGGTTCTCTGATGCCGATTGAGATGCGAGCTCTGTCTGAAGTGTTCCCCGCACTTCAAGCATGTATATGGCTTCTCGCCTGTGTGTGTCCTCTGGTGTTTAATCAGGGCAGCACTCTGTCTGAAGCTTTTCTCACATTCTTGGCATTCATAGGGTTTCTCACCTGTGTGAATCCTCTGGTGTTTCAGGAGGTCTGAGCGCTGTTTGAACCTCTTCTCGCAGTGATCACATTTATAAGGTCTTTCTTCATGGAGCCATCTCTGGGTCTCACTGTCAACAGAGTTGTGAGGTTTCGCTATGTGATGTTTCACCTGATCAAAACTTTCTTTGCACTTGTTCCCTTGTTCCTCACCATCAACTGGCCTCAGTGATGTCTGGATGTGCTGACCAAGGACAAAGCTGGAACTTTTAGCACTATTCCCAAATTCATTATTTTTGGAGACTCTCTCTTCTGTGGAACCACTGCTGTTGAGATCTGAGATGCTAGTTCTTGATCTGAGTCCTTGTTCTTCAGAATTTTTGAGTTTCAATGACACAGGGTCTCTCGGGTGCTTTTCTACTCTGTCCTTACACATATTGTAACACTTAGAAAACAGGGAGGCCTTCCCCTGGGAAACTTCTTGTAGCCACACCTGTGGCTCTGCTTCTTCTAAAATTTCTTCTTTTGGAATCAACTCTTTGTTCTCAGCTTTAGTTTCCAAACCTGAAACATTAAAGTACAAACTGCTACCATTCATTTCATCTCTGTGCAATATAGCAAAACAAGCAAGTACTAGCAAAAGAGCAACCCCAGCCCCCTTTTAAGTATTTTCCATTAAATTCCTTAGGTGAAGTTATTTAGTTAACCTGTCTGATATGCTCATATTTGCCAGTGCAAACCCCATATCTTTCCTTTTATACTCATGCCTATGTCAACCAACCCAGCTCTTCTTCCCTAGCCCCACTCCACTGCAGTGATATGTCATTATTTGTGAAAGGTACATTTGGAAGGGCTGACAAGAAAGGATTGAATCTGAAGTACTGGGGGCAGGGGTGGGGCAACAAAAATAAATTCAGAAAAGGAAAAGTTGATATAAAAATAAATAGATAAAAGACATATAATGTTTCTCACAATTCAAAGACATGAGCTTCTATATTATTTTTTAAAATATTTATTTTTTAGTTGTAGTTGGACACAACACCTTTATTTCACTTATTTATTTTTTATGTGGTGCTGAGGATAGAACCCAGGGTCTCACATGTGGAAGGCAAGTGCTCTACCACCCAGCCCCAACCCAAGCCCCAGAGCTTCTGTTATAAGGGCCCACCAACTACTCAGAACAATGAATTAAAAAAATACATCTCAGGCTGGGGTTGTAGCTCAGTGGTACAGCGCTTGCCTAGCATGTGTGAGGCACTGGATTCGATCCTCAGCACTACATAAAAATAAATAAAATAAAGGTATTGTGTCCATCTACAACTAAAAATATTTTAAAAAATACATCTCACACTGAGGCATACAAAGGAAAACACCTAAATGTCTCCACCCAAGACAGATCACACACTGTGCTGTGTTCTTTTATATGCTTGTCAGGTGTGGCCACAAGAGAAGACTGAGGAGAGGCTCTAGGAAACAGTTTATTATACTCACAGTCCTAAGGACAGGAGGCACACCAAGCCATGTAAGCCACATAGGAAGGCAGCAGTGGCAGAGGCAGAAGAGATAGGAGTAAGGGAGAACCTAAGCCATGATTTATTGGACAAGAAAGGTAAGAAAGGCAGGGTGAACTGGCGAGGGCTGGCTGTTCTGAATAATTTAGCAGGGCTCCAAGCCATAAAGGTGATCCTTTATTTCCTGGTACCAGACTCTGGGATGACTGAGGCATTGGAATACTGCTGTCTAGGCTGTGTGGACCAGACGGAGGGGGATCTGGGTTGGAGTTCAGGGTTGGTTAATTTGCACAGCAAAGGCATGCTCCTGGCTGAATTCTTTGCTGTCTTTCAGAATGGCTAGCCCTTGGCAATCTCTTTCTCAGTCAGAAAGATTTTAAGATGTCAAAATGTCATAATATACAAAAAGATGAAAAACATGAAGAAAATACACATCAAAGATAAAATAGTATAATGGCATCAGAATTTCTCAAAAGCAAATGACAAACTAGATAGAAAATTAACTGTCTTCAAAATTATTTCTAACCTGAAATACCTAGCTATATATCTACCTGAGATGGGTAGTTTACAAAAAGCAAAGACTCATTTAACTCAAAGTTCTTAAGGGTGGGAACTGAAGAGTATTGTGCAGGCATCCAGCAAGGCCCTTCTTACTGCATCATTACATGGCAGAGGGATCACATGGCGAGACAGCAAGCATGCTGTCAGCTCAGGTCTCTCTTCCCCTGCTTATAAAGCCACCAGTCCCACCAATGGGGGCCCTACCCTCTTGACTTTTATCTATTCCTAATCACCTCCCAAAGGTCCCAATTCAAAATACTACCAGGCTGAGTTTGTGGATTAAATTTCCAACTGTAATATTTGGGAAACATGTTCAACCAAAGCATCACACTCTGATCCAAATGTGTGAGAGAGATAAAGATATCTGCAGACATGCCAAGTTTCCAAAGATTTAGTTCCTAAGTATATGTTCTCTGGCAGATGTTCTCTACCAAATCAAGGGGATATACCAAGGAAGAAAATATTACAGAATCCAGTAAAGAGAAAAGGAATTTCCAGGAAAATGATGAAGGGAATCCTAGGACAAAAGCTGTGTAACAGGCCTGGGAAAGAAGCATTCTGTTCATACCAGAGCAGAGGAAGCTTTGAGGAGGATCTCTGCAAGGGGAAAAATAAAACTGGGAGCACATCCATGACCTAATGATCAATAGAAAACTAGGCAAATGCGGGGCTGTGATTGTGGCTCAGTGATAGAGCGCTCACTTAGCATGTGCGAGGCCCTGGGTTTGATCCTCAGCACCATATAAAAATAAAGATATTGTGTCCAACAACAACTAAACAATAAATATTAAAAAAAAAAAAGATGGGCTAGGGATGTGGCTCAAGTGGTTTCGCGCTCACCTGGCATGCACGGGGCGCTGGGTTCGATCCTCAGCACCACATAAAATAAAATAAAGATGTTGTGTCCACCAAAAACTGAAAAATAAATATTAAAAAATTCTCTCTCTTTCTCTCTTCTCTCTCTCTATAAAAAAAAATTTTAAAAAAAAGAAAACAAGGAAATGCAAAATGAGGCATTATTAACTCCAGGGAAACAAAAAGTTGCAACAGAAAAGACACATAGGTGAATATAGATAATACTGAAGTATGGTATACTAATTTAACTATAATTATAAACTATAAAAGGCTAATTTAACTGTAGAGAATTATGGACCACTAAATATACATATGCAGGGGGAACAAAATTCTTCATTTTCCCCAGTAGGCAGCCAAGAGACAATAATCAAAATTGGTGGGAGGGGGGGTTAGTAGTACAAGCATCTTATTTAGAAATATAAAAATAAATAGCTGAGTGGCTAGCTGAAAGATTTTTTTTTTTAATTTTTGCAAGACTGGGGATTGGATGCAGGGCCTTGGGCATGTTAGGCAAGTACTCTACCATCAATCTACACCCTCAGCAATAGTTAAAAGACTTGAAAATAGTTGCCTATGAGAAGCTAAAATTTGGATTCAGAAGGGTCTGATATTTATCTAAAAGACTCAATAAACATAAAGCACAGAATAAAACATTGAAAGATTTCCCTATATTAAAATTTTAAAATTCTATATAATAAAAGATGCCACAGTAAAAAGACAAGCCACCTTATATAGCCAAGATGACAAAGGATTAGTATAAAAAAATATCAGGCACAATGGTACATGCCTGTAATCCCAGCAGCTCAGGAGGCTGAGGCAGAAGGCCCACACATTTAAAAAGCCAGCCTTAGAAACTTAGCAAGACACTGTCTCAAGGAAAAAAAAAAATACGGGGTGGGGTGGGGCGGTGGTGTGTGTGTGTTGTGGGGAGGGGCTGGGGATGTTGCGCAGTGGTTAAGCAAGCACCTCTGGGTTCAATCCCTGATACCCAAAACAACAAAAAACAAAAACAAAGGCTGAGAGATCAGCAGTATCAGCAGTGTGGGAAGAGAGGGCTTGATAGGCAAAGTGCAGCATTAAACAAGGCAGTCAGGATCAGGCTTCATTGAAAAGGAGTTATTTAAGCAAATTCCTGAAGCTGAGTCAGCGTGTGCTTTACTGAAAATCCAGAGGAGGGACATTCAAGGCAATGAAGTCAATTGGTGCAATCATTACACAGACCAGGAGGCAGGATGTCTGGTACATTCAAGTTCAGCCAGGCAGTGTGGTCAGAGCAGAGTGGATTGCAGACAGTGGGGAGACCAAAGGATGGGTGCTAGAGGAGGAAGGTTCCCAGCATCAAAGGACAATCAATGGCTCTCACCCTCATGAAATGAAAGCCACTGTAGGTCCTGAGTGACATGACCCAACATCTGAAAAGGAACAATCAGGCTGCTGTGTGAAGATGTCATGCCACCAGCCAATTTCACCAAATGTTGACAAGAATGCAGAGAATGAAAAATTCTCATAAGTGGCTTATAGGCATATAAATTGGTGATAAGCTCTGTGGACAGCAAGAGGGGCATACATCTTTGCATACTGTATATTCTCTTTGGAATCACCCATATATGAATACAGGGATGTAACAAGAATGTTCAGTGTCACATTGTAATGGTGAAAAACTAGACACCTAAATGCCCATTGGCAGAATGGAAGGTTAATTTTGGAGTTTTCACACAGCAAATAAGGTGTTAAAAGAAAGCTTAATTATATCTGATCTGTGACTGCATGTATATAAAGAATATAAAACATGCGTGGAAAGGATAAATACCACAATCAGGATATTGGTTACCTCTGGAGAAAGAGCATGGGGAATAGCTTCAAGGAGGGTACATGAGGCTTCACTTTAGCTATGACTTCTTATTTCTTGGGGGAATAGAAAACAAAATCAATATGGCCAAATATTAAGATTTGATAAGCCTGGGTGGTAAATAAACAGTTGCTCATTATCTTTTTATATTTTCTCTAAGTGTAAAGTATTAAAAATAACTAAAATAAAAAGCTGAATCAAGCCAGGAATGGTGGCACACGCCAGTAATCCCAGTGGCTCGGGAAGCTGAGGCAGGAAAATATCAAGTTCAAAGCCAGCTTCAGCAAAAGCAAGGCACTAAGCAACTCAGTGAGACCCTGTCTCTAAATAAAATACAAAAATAGGGCTGGGGATGTGGCTCAGTTGTCGAGTATCCCTGAATTCAATCCCCGGTACCCACCACCCCAAAAAGCTGAATCTGTCTCTTAGCAACAGAGAATAGAAAGGTCCTGCTTGGGTCACAGAAGAAACTCTAAAGCTCTTGGCTCACATCTGTACATGGTAGAATGGCTCGGGAAATGCAGTGAACTGAGCCCTTCACAAATTACATACATTATAAATCAGCAGAGTAATAGCACTCACTAGGCAGGACTGTGCTCCCATTATCCTTCTGTACATTCTCCCTGCAGAAGTCCCTTTGAGCTGTGTCCAGCTGCTCCCACTCCTCCCAGGGTAGAGACATGGCCACATCCTTGAGTGTCACCAATCCCTGGAACAACATGAGATTCCTATTCAATACCTGCTGTCCCTGGGCAGCACTGTCACTAGTCTGAATATGAGGTGAAACTCCAGAGAGTACTGAGAAGAGGAAGCACTGAGAACCAACCATAGCTATTCAGTTTGGGCCAATGAGTCTTGTACTGAGCGGGGAGATTTGAAGGGATTGACATTGTCTTGTAATCCTAAAAAGCTTTTCTGTGTACTGCCTACACTAATTTGTGGTAGGCAGGAGCAAATACTTAATGCATGTTATATCACTGTGGTTTATCAAAACGGAAACTTGATAGATGAGAAATATATAACCAGAAAGTTTCACATTCCAGTGCTGACACTCTGAGATGCTGTTTCCTTATGAGCAAAAGACACACCTCAGCCAGAGGGTGCTAAGTCCTTTCAGTTCTCTGCCCTTGGCTACTTTATAATAAGATAATTATGCAACAAGACACTCTTTTGAGATGGCTTATTAAATGTAAGCTGACTACTTCTGTGGGTGAATGCCACAATATATAGAAAGGGAAGATTCTAAAAGTGGTGAGGGAGATGTTTTTCCAGTTCTAGTGTGGGTCATAAATTAACTCCAAGGCTCTTCCACTCACTGTACTGTGTGTATGTACATATATGTCGACCCATGCCTATGTGTATTTACAGGTTAAGCATCCTGTATCTGAAATGCTTGGGAGCAAAAATGTCAGAGTTTAGAGTTCAGATTTTGGAATATTTGCATAAATTTTACTGGCTGAGCAGTCCTAATCTAAAAATTCAAAATCTGAAACTTTTTCTTTTCTTTTTTTTTTTTTTTGGTGCCAGTAATTGAACCCAGGGTGTTTAACCACTGAGCCACATCTCTAGCCGTTTTTACTTTTTGTTTTGAGGCAGAGTCTTGCTAAGTTGCTTAGGGCCTTGCTAAATTGCTGAGGTTGACTTTGAACTTGGGATCCTCCTGCTTCAGCCTCCTGAGTCACTGGGATTACAGGTGTGTGCCACTGCACCTGGCTAAAATCTAAAAATTCTTGAGTTTCAAGCTCCTACAACAAATAAGTATTGCAACAAATGTCAATAGTGCTGAAGTTAAGAAACTCTGCCTGTTATCATGCTAAAATATGAAATGGCCATCTTTTTTCTTTTTTTGTCTATAGTCTCCAAATTATATTTCAAAACCAGTAATGGAGTACCTTTCAGAATATTAGTACTATTTTTTCTAGTATTCTTCTGAAGAGTCTACCACACAGTTGTATTTTAACATCTGAAAAACCAAAAATAATTAGGATTGTAAATAAAATGTACATAAGTATATAGCTGTGGACCAGGAATCAAAGGCAGGAGACACTGTTAAATAAACCTGTAGAGAACGGTGACTTGGATCATGGTCTCTGACTGCCTTGTGGCTGTGGATGCACTTGTACTGGGAATTTTCTGTGCAAACATGCAGGTCAAGATTGCCCAGTTGTTATGGCAACATCCTGCCTGAGGAAGCTCTGTGTAAAGGCACAGAACTATATCAGTCTTGACCCTGATCTCAGACACCAGCTGCCAGGGATAAATAATTCTGGACATAATAAGATAACCACAATGCCTTGTAAGTGCCATGACTTTCAGGCTTTGCAGAAACTTTCCCATAAATCATCTTTTTGTGTGTGTGTACTGGGGATTGAACTGAGGGGCACTTGACCACTGAACCACATCTCCAGCTCTATTTTTTGTATTTTATTTAGAGACAGGATTTCACTGAGTTGCTTAGCACCTTGCTGTTGCTGAGGCTGGCTTTGAACTTGTGATCCTCCAGAGCCACTGAGATTAAGGGTGTGTGCCACCACACCCAGCTCATAAATAACCTTTTGATGATAAAACCTACATAATAAACATGCTGTACTAGGTCTGGGTCACTGTTCCTCCAGCAGAGGATGGTGTCCCACCTGGTCCCAGCTTGCTTTCTATAAGTGTTATTGTGTTTTTCTTAACACTCAACTGGTCCTTGCCAGTTTCTAAGGTTTGGCCGTGCAGGTTGTGGCATGAACCCTCACATTTTAAACAGATAGATATGGTTACGGAATCTGGATCTCCTCTTTCCCAGATGGACACTTTTCCTATTTTACACAGTTGTTTGACCCTAAATGTCTGTGCCTCATATTTATCTCTGAAATGAGAGAGGATGACACCGCCATGGTATTTTTTAGCTACCAGATTTTATTTGTCTTCAATTGCTGCAAAAGGCCATATGCTAGGGGCTGGAGTTGTAGCTCAGTGGTAGAGCACTTGCCTGGCACGTGTGAGGCACTGGGTTTGATCCTCAGTACCACATAAAAATAAATAAAGATATGGTGTCCATCTATACAACTAAAAAGTATTTTTTTTAAAAAAGGCCATATGCTAAAACCAAATATTAATGACTTTTGGCTACTACTTTCATTCTTGTGGATAATTACAAACAAAATAAAACCTAATAGCAAGCTGCCATGACACAGATGATCACTTATTTTCAGAGTGGGCAGTGTTTAAAAACTACCTAAGAGATATAGATGGAAACTTCAGAGAATGCTTTGCAAACACAGTACTGGAAATCTTAAGATTCTAAGGATTGGGAAACCCAGTACTGTGTAATAAAGTCAATCTCCTGCTGATTTCAGTGACATTCATTTCTTCCTACCTTTAAAGCTAAAGCTGGAGGGCTGAGGTTGTGGCTCTGTGGTAAAGCGGTTGGCTAGCATGTATGAGGCACTGGATTCTATCCCAAGCACCTCATTAAAAACAAACAAACAAACAAACAAACAAAAAAAAACAACTAAACTAAGCTAAATAAACAAAATAAAGGTATTTTGTCCATCTACAACTAATAATATTGAATTAAAAAACCCCAAAGCTGGAGTGTTCTGGTTTGTTGTTCAATGGTGTCAATACTCATACAACAAAATACCCTTTTTCATTTTTTGCTTTCAGTGGAAAAGAAATATGGAGTAATGTGCAGAAGAATGTAAGGTCATTCATAAAAGACTGACATAGAGCAATGAACAAAGATCTGCTAATGTATGACACCTTATCACAAAAATATTTGATTCTAGGGCCGGGGTTGCAGCTCAGTGGTACAGCACTTGCCTTGCATGCATGAGGCATCCTCAGCACCACATAAAAAAAATAAATAAAGATATTGTGTACATCTACAACTGAAAAAATATTTTAAAAAATTTGATTCTCAACTGCTGCATTTTTCTTTCTTTCTTTTTTTTTTTTGGTACTGGGAATTGAACCCAAGGGAGCTTTACCACTGAGGTACAGTCCGCAGTCCCTTTTATTTTTAGACAGGGTCTCTCTAAATTGCCGAGAGCCTGGAATTTACGATTCTCCTGCCTCAGCCTCCAGAATCACTGGAATCACAGGCAAGTGATATTGTGCCAGGCTGCGGTATGTCTGTGATGACTAGAACTAGTTAGCTTTGGCTTTATTCCTGCAGCAGCAAAATGGAATTCAATGGCAAGTACCATAAAGGTACAGAATTAGGTCCAGTGAATCCCTTAATGCAACAAGGCTTATTTTAAGTCCAACAGTAGCCAAGGACTGTGGCACCCTATAATCCCAGCTACTCAAAGGGAGGTTGAGGCAGGAGGATTGCTCAAGTTTGAGACAACACAGCAAGGTCCTAAGCAACTTATGAGACTAAAGTAAAAAAAACAAAAAGGGCTAGGGATAAACTTAGTGGTAAAGAATCTCTGGGTTCAATCAGCTACCCCCCCCAAATCCAACAGTAATCCACAAATCATTATTACATCAAATATACTTTCGCTAAAAACCCACCAGTGGGCTGGGGTGTAGCTCAGTGGTAGAACATTTGGCTGGCATGTGTGAGGCATGGGTTTGATCATCAGCACTATAAATAAATAAATAAATAAATAAATAAATAAATAAATAAATAAATAAATAAACGTTACTGTGTTCATCATCTACAACTAAAAAAAATAATAATTTTAAAAAGCCCACCACTGCTGCAGCTTCCGACTCCCCAACTGATATCAAGTAATGTCTGCAAATTGAAAAATAAAAAAGTACAACCAACTTCACTGTGGGAGGCGGGGATAACTAAGCTGTTAAAAAGCAAAACGGGATGTTCACATTAAAGATGCTGAGAAATTGCTGTTCTAAGTTGTTTAAGGACATAAGCCCGCTTTCCATCCTGACATCATTCTTTTCCAGTCCAGTAAAAGAAGAGGGTGTCTTGCAATAGATAACCAGTAATTTGCTTGATGCTAAGTCCTTACTAGGCCCTGCTTGCTATGGAAATAAAACAAAGTTCACACAAAATGTAACAAGGGAGAAAGAATGTCGGCAACTCGGAGCATCCCTCACACTCCCACCATCCAGAACAGGCCTTTCCCCTTCTCACCGGGGGTGAGGTCCCGCCCAGCGCTCTCTGGAGAGCCCGCGCCACAGCCGCAGCCTCTTCCCCACTCTCTGGGCAGTGGTCCCGCACCCAGGCCTGGAGTTCGTGGGGTAGGATGGTCAGGAACTGCTCCAGCACCAGCAGTTCCAGGATCTGCTCCTTCGAGCGCATCTCAGGCCTAAGCCAGCGACGACAGAGTTCCCTGAGCCGACTCAGCGCCTCTTCGGGTCCATCCACCTCCTGGTAACGCAACTGCCTAAACTGCTGTCGAAAAGTTTCGGGGTCCTGCCAGGCCCCGGGCGGGTCGGACTCCCGACCTCCGAGGGAGTCTTCCTCCACCTTCACTATGAAAAGCCCCTCAGGTAGGGGCTGCGCGGCGACCCTGGATCTCGCGGCCATCCGCGCCTTTGGGCAGACAAGCTCGAACCCATCTTTTTCCGGCACTTGCTGACTTTCCCAGAGTCTTGCCTTCAGATGAGAAGACAGCAAACCCAAGGAACTCATGGGCCCTCCTCAAAGCGAGGGCTCACGGCAATCGTGTCCCACACACCCGACTCCACGCAGCCCGCTGTCTACTAGGCACTCGCCTAGCACCGGGGATACCCCGGCACCCCCTAGGTCCTTTGATAGAAAAAAAAAAAAAAAAAAAAAAAAAAAAACAACCCCCAGCCTACGCAGGAAGTGCGTCACCGATCCCTGCGGTGCCCGCTCCAGCATTTCCGGGGCCTCTCCAGGCGGCCCGGAGGACTGAGATGCATCTCGGTGGTTTACCATCCTTCTCACTCCCGCCATCCCGAGGCGGCGACTCCTGTGCTGATTTCTGCATCTGGAGAAAATAACCGGTTTAGGAGCAGTTGATAGGGCAAGGAACTGTCAGAGTTGGGAGAAAACAAAAAAGAACTTTAACTGCTTCTGTGTACGTCACATGTTATGGCCTTTGATTCTCTCAAAGATGAGGAAACTGTGGCTGGAAGAAGTCGTGTCTTGCCTGATAATCAATAGGCTTGTGACTGATAAATGAGACCAACATGCCCATTTCAAACTCCAAAACTGAGCACTTTCCACTGATACATGTTCAGTTATTGTAATTTTTCTCCCCCAAAAGCGATTTCTTCGCCCAAGCTATTTGGTTCATTTATTCATTCATCTATTCAAGAAACCTATCCAAGGACTGAGAATGTAGCTCAGTGGCAGGGCGTTTGCCTAGCATGTGCAAGGCCCTGGGTCCAATCCCCTGGACCAGTGGGTGGTGGCGAGTTGACTGCTGTGCTTCTGCTCTCCGGAAAGTGACAAGTTGACCTGGCCTGTTATTATTGGTACATGTCACTGCACCTCCTAAAAGTACAGGGCACACTGTGGCCCTTCAGTCACCAAATGCCCAGTGAATATTTCCTGAGCATCTAAGACCTTTGAAGCTCTAGCAGAGTAACAGAACTCCTCCCTCCTTCAGGGTGCTGTATGAAGTGAGAGCAGGGGATGGAATAGGGGGTGATGGGGATGTCTTAACAATTCCTACAAACTGGGTGGTTTAAGAAATTTATCATCTCAGTTCTGGAATCTAGAAGTGTGATATCAAGTTGTTGGCGGAGTGTTTCCTTCCAAGGGCTGAGAGGAAGAATCTGCTCTTAGTTCACCCCAGCTTCTAGTGGTTGGTGTCACTCTTCCCTGTTCTTTGGCTAAATGCAAAAGCATCATCCCACTCTGACTCCATCTTCACATGTCGTTCTACCTGCAGGCATGGTCTGTCTCCAAATTTCCCTTTTATAAGACAACAGTTATAACCAATTAGGACCCACCCTAATGACCTCATTTTCAACTTGGTAAAGACCCTATCTCCAAATACGGTCACCTTCTTAGTTACTGTGAGTTAAGACTCCAACATGTGAATTTTGGGGGACACAATTCAATCCATAAGAATAAGCCCTATATAGGTCTGTTATCTAAATTTCTGAGAAGGTTCCAGGTTCAAAAGGAGCAAATGTGAGATGATAATCTAGGGTAAAAGAAGAAAGAACTTAGAACAGTCAGCAATTTGCCCTCCTATCCCAGAGAATGATCACTGGAAAACTCCCCAGATTTCCTCATTTCTATGTCATGGAGCCTTTGTGTACTGCTATTTATATGATTCATGATAACCCCAACACTTATCAAGTGCTTATTATGTGCTAAGAAGTTTGAAGAGCTATATCTCAATCCTTACAATGAGACACTCTGGGTTAGTGCAGTTAACTGAGAACCAGAGAAAAATAATTTACCCAAAGTTTTCAGTTACTAAGTGGCAGAACTGGTATTAGAACAGGATAGCAATACCTAATGCTCTAGTCTTTTCTTCCATTATTTTTACTTTTCTTTAAAATATCTTTTAGTTGTTGATGGACCTTTTATTTTATTTATATGTGGTGCTGAGAATCAAACCCAGTACCTCACACATACTAAGCAAGCACTCAATCACTGAGCCACAATCCTAACCCTTACTTTTCCTTTTTCCTATTTATATTGATTTGAACTTTTTACACCAAATCTTTACCTTAGGGGCAACTTGTAGATTTATTTTCTTCAACTGTGAGTAACTTAGTACAGTAAACCTTGGGCTAGAACTGAGACAACTTGGATCTTCTTTGCCCAAAAGGTCCAGATATGGTTTTGGAAAAGTCCTCTAAGGATTATAAGCCTTATTGTTCCAATATATAAAACAAGTATGGAACAGGATTATAATTATTCAAAATAATGTTTGATTTTGGAGGATCATACAAAAGACTGTCTCAAAATGAAAAATTAAAAGGGCTGCGGATGTGGCTCACTGGTTAAGCGACCCCTGGGTTCAATCCCAGGTACAAAAACAAACAAACAAACAAACAATGACTTGAATTTTGGCTCATGCAAATCCATTCCCTACTTTAAGAAATAAATGACATTTTAAAAATGTAAAGGTCAGCAGAGTGCAGTGGCACACTCCTGTAATCCCAGCCCCTCGGTGGCTGAGGCAGAAGAATCACAAGTTCAAAGCCAACCTCACCAAAAGCGAGGTGCTAAGCAAGTCAATGAGACCCTGTCTATAAATAAAATACAAAATAGGGCTGGGGATGTGGCTCAGTGGCGGAATGCTCCTGAGTTCAATCCCCGGTACCTGCCCCCGCCCCGCAAAAAGGGGAGAACATTTCGAAGCCACTCAAATTGAGGTAGGTTTCTTGGAAAAAATGGATATCCATCTTAGACAACTTTTACATACATTAAGTCAACTGAATAAAAGCACCAAAATTAAGCCCCAGCTGCAAAATCCTACACCACACTCCTTCGTCGATTCTATTTTTATTTTTAAATGTCAACTTACACGCAAAATACATTGCGGACTTTCACCAGGGTCTTGGTCTTAAATAGGAAGCAACCTATCATGCATGAGATTTTGAGTGGTCTGGAAAGTGTCCTTTAACTTCTAAATATCCTCTCCATCTGTTGGTAGAAGCTGCAGTTCCAGAGCCGTTTGAGCCCCAAAGAGTGGCGATAAGTGAATCTGTCGTGTCTGTCCGACAGCTTTGAAAATGGGCAAACTTAAAAGTGAGAGATTATTAAATCTCTTGAGCTTGAGCTAGGGAACCCCTGAGTAAACAACGGCCTTTGCAAGTTTTGCTCTCCCCACCCCTAAGGCCAATAGGCACCCGGCGCCCCCACTAGTCTTCCAGACCAGCGCCAGCGGACACGCCACCCACCCTGCCGCTTTCTGATAGGCCCGCGAGAACGAGGCTAGAAGTAGAGTCGTGGCCCTATTGGTTAGCTGGTGTAGCCCGCGCGGGGCTTCCTGGGAGATGTAGTCCCAAGAGCCTCTCGCGCTGGCGAATTGCGGGTGTGACGTTGGAGACTTCGGCCCAGTGAGCCGACTGTGGCAGTAAAGAGGTGGGTGTGTTTGGAAAGGGAGGGATGAGAATTTGGGTGAATAAAACCTAAAGTGCTCAAAGTATAAGATGTCCGAGGCCTACGGACTCGCAGAAAGATAGATACGGACCTACTTCGAATTGGGGCGCAGAGCGTTGGGGGTGGGGAGGCGCCAGGACCGCGGCCAATCAGGCGCCGGCAACTGTTGCCTAACCCTTGATGCCCCGCCTCTTGTCCTCACTCCAAGAAAGGGGGAGGAGCTCGGCTGTTTCTTGGCTGTGCTGTGGGGTGGGGAAGAGGGTGATTGGGTTTCCTGGCCGACTCTGGTAACTTTGTATTTGCACCCCAGAGGCCTAGGGACGTCCGGGTTGTGGGCGGTGGGCTGGGGGTCCGGCCGCGCCCTATCTCGGTGTCGATTGGTCATCTTTCCCTCTGGGGCGGGGCCAGGGGCGGCACCCCCCACCCCACCCGCTGCGAGGCGAGGACCTCCGGGATTCCTAGAGAGGCCTCGGAAGTGCTCTCGTGGGTGGGATTTATGGCTTAAGCTTGGACTTGCTTACTTCCGGTGAGGAAGTGTTGGGAAGTGTCAGCATCAGTGTTCTCCTGTTTTGTACGATTCCCGGTCTTCCAAATCTTGGCTGCGGGGAGTATGATCTTCCTGGAGAGCTAATTGGGACTGGGGACTTGAGGGGAGGGAGTAGGGCTTTTGTATTCGGACGGGGGATCTGTCCCTAACCTTGACCGGGCTGTCTGTGTCGTGGGGTCAGGAGCGGTTTCGGAGGAATTTGGGTCCAGATCTTTACCTTATACCATATCTCTTCTGGACCAATGAAGTCTAAAGTTGTCTGTCAAGCTCTTGTGGCTTGATGGACAGAACCAGTTATGAACATTTTAATGTTTTTCACCCCCATTCTGACTTAAGTTTGATTTATGGTAGAGAGAAGGAAGGGCTCCATCTGTAATAGTAAGTTTTGTCTCATTATTTATAGGAACTGTCAAGTATTTTTGCCTCTAAAATTGTGTCTTAGATTGAGACTGATGTGAAATTTTTATGAGTGTTCATTACTTTTTTTTAAATCTTGGAGGTAATCTCTTGATAATCTTCTTATGGATGGAGTGGCGGCTGCCTTGCAGTCCATATTTTTAAGTAAATTACTTCGTTGAGTGTCATCTTTAGTTTTTGTATAGAACGTCTTTGCCGTCTCTCTTTGCTAATAATGATTCCCGATATATATCAGTAGGTTGCACACTACTGAAAGTGCTCTTCAGAAGACAAATTGGGTCAGAGTAACACAGCCAGCCTCGAGAGAATTCCCTCTGAGTTGGAATGATAATGACAGAATCCCGGGAAGTTATAGACTTAGATCCTCCAGCTGAGACTTCACAGGAACAGGAAGACCTTCTAATAGTGAAGGTGGAAGAAGAAGACTGCACCTGGATGCAGGAGTACAATCCGCCACCATTTGAGACTTTTTACCAGCGGTTCAGGCATTTCCAGTACCATGAGGCATCAGGTCCACGTGAGGCTCTCAGTCAACTCCGGGTACTCTGCTGTGAGTGGCTGAGGCCCGAGTTGCACACCAAGGAGCAGATCCTGGAGCTGTTGGTGCTGGAGCAGTTCCTGACCATCTTGCCAGAAGAGTTCCAGGCCTGGGTGAGAGAACATCATCCTGAAAGTGGCGAAGAGGCTGTGGCTGTGATAGAAAGTATACAGAGAGAGCTTGAGGAACGC